CATAATCAATCCCTCACTACTCTTACCTGTTTTTCAAATGGCACTACCGACCGCTTCTTGTACACGTGTGCCATGCTTAATCCCTCGATGCTTATCGGACACTGCATAATGTGCCCTCTTATTGGCATAATCAATTCCTCACTACCTTGCCTTGTTCTTTCAAATGGCGCTACAGACTGCTTCTTGGTACACTACCTACCCGGCCTCAAGACCGTCGGCGACGCGCACCACTTCCCGAACAACGTTCGCTTCTGTGCTGGCAATGGCGTGCTGCTCAACTGGGAGAGACACCATCCGTTGATGCAGAAGGCCTTGGATCACTTTGACAACCACTACGACCCGCAATGCTGGGGATGTGCTGGGCCTAGGCTCATGGGTCAGTTGATACCCGAGTACCTATCCCGCGTGACGCTGGTGGCGGAGAAGCTGGTGTTTCCAGTGCAGTATCGCGAGGCGAGTACGTATCTCTCCCGCGAAGACGATGCCTTCTGCGAGCATATCATGCAGAATGCCGTGGGCTTCCACATGTACGGACAGGCCACCTCGCAGCAGGATGTTAAGAAAGGGTCGGTGACCGCGTGCATCATAGCGAAGGTCAGACTCCGACCCGACGACAATGTGCCGTTTGACAAGGTGCGCACCCCAGCTGGTGCTGTGTTGAAGCGTGCGTATGATCCCAGTGTTATGCATAGTGCGAAGACCTGCAAGAACCTGCAGCTGGTGCCCTTGGAGCGTAATGTGGCTGTGGTTCTGTTGGCTTACAAGCGTGTGGATTTGGTCGGCAGGATTCTGGAGATGTTTGTGGAGAGTAGGTATATCCGAGAGGTGGTTATCTGGAACAACAACCCGGACCGTTTGCTGGACGCCGATAAACTGGCCAAGGTGTATGAGAAACTACCCAGGAATAAGTATACGGGAGAGGTCCCCTATGTGCCATGTGTGCGCGTTTACAACTCGCGAAGGGATGGTAATGTGCTGTTTCTGGGACGGTTTGCGGCGTGCTTGGCCTCGAGCTCGCCACTGTGCTACTTCCAGGATGACGACTGGATCGTCCGAGACACTGAACAGTTGCTACACTTGGCGAATAGAGAGCCTCATAGAGTGCACAGTATCACGAATGGTGAGGTCGTGCGTACCGCCAACTCGTGGAAATTCGGTAACCCCAAGATACACATGAATGCCCAGTTCTCATGGGTGGGGACGGGCGCGTGTGTGTCGAGGAAAATGGTGCAGAACTTTTTCTTGCAGCTACTTGCGAGTCGGCTCAGCGTCACAGACCGCACGATGGCCGACTTCTTCTTCACGGCATGGACAAACGCACCACAGGATGTTATTGAGGGCGAGATTGTAGAGCTGACACGTGCTAACGCCTTCTCTGGGGCAGAGGGTACCAAAGACTGGGGTAAAGGCACACAGAGGAACATTGACTATATCATGTACAGTCTGAGTAAGCTTTATGAGATCCTTACCAGGCCCGCATATGCGGAGGTGAGACACCTATTCTTACCGTATACCCCCGATGTGGCGGAATGGTACCGAACTTCGGGCGGGGGTGGTTCTGGTGGTGCGGCGAATGCACGGCACGCACCCCCACAACAATACCCCAATGCCAAGCGGACTAAGCTGCTTACCATGCCTGTATATACCAACACCACTCTGCTAGAGTCAGAAACTAGTCTCATGCAAGACCCCACTTTGTACCCGGGGTGTACGGTGAGCAACGATAGGTATAGAGCTATTCTGCGCACCGATGCCAGCGAGTTTGGCCTGGGCCACAGACCTATGTACAACCCCACCTTCACCCTGGACATGCACGTGACGCAAAACTCGGTACCGAACTACAAGTTCGAGCGGAATCTGCGCAACATGGTCGATGGCAGCTTATCCACCAACTTTGAGCCCATATTCCGAAGGAAGTGCCACAACATCACCATGGAGTTCCTACGCCCATACCCTTGTACCTATGTGAGCGTGACGCTAGATGCGGGCCCGGAGAGTGTGGAGATGTACGTAGGTCTTGCCAGCGAGAGTGATGTGCAGAGCATTGGCAAGTACATGCTAGGTCGGTGGGACGGCACCCAGACTATATACGGGGGTAGGGCGGGCGTGGATACCAAGAATAAGATAGTATCGAAAGGGTTGGCGAAGGGTAAGAATACACGCACGGATAAGCAAAATGTGCGTCAGAACAACCATAACAGCCGACGGGGTAGTGAAGATAGGCTAGGAGAGGTTAGTTGGGTGGTGCTGGAGGTGTGTGCTAGGATATCGGGGGCGTACTTCCAGGACGTAAAGATATACGATATAGACCTGGTTGCGGAGGTCTAGAGTCTACTGCAAGGCATTAGATCAAGGAGTGTGTGTGGGGGGGGGGGCAGTGTAACAGCTCATTAGAAGTAGTAATTAAATAAATCTGGCTGCCATTGTTAGCGTATGTAGTTACTGTCGATTCTGTAAGGAAAATTCAAGCCATCGTAAGATAATCTCCAAAGGCCAAAAAATATATCATATCAACAAGCAGTAAAGAATTTGGTGCTCACAGTGTGTTTAAAGGTCGTGCAAACCGACCCGTGCATCCTGTGTACACTCTTCACAAGCTTGATCATATCAATCTTATTAATATTCTATGTTTATACTCGGCAAAATCTTCCCCGTATCTATCGTGACTATCTCGGTTCCACTTCTTACTTCCGAGTTCAGCTGAGGCCAGGCTCGGTTGATATGTCGGTGGCGACGGTGGGTGCAAAGTGATTTGTTAACGTCGTGATATGTATAAATAGGGACAGATGCATATGTATGTATTCACATATGCGCATATGTGCAAATTAAAATGTCCTACAGTTGATTTGCGCCTCTCTCTCTCTCTCTCTACACTCTAGAGAGAGAGTGAGATTAATTCAATGTGAGAGGGCATTGAATCCTCGACAGGTATGTAAATAATCAGATACCCAGAAAATAGCGTATTATGTACCCAGAAAATTTAATTTTGAGGGCGCTCTGAAATGTTTTTTTTGTTTTTTTTTTACCCTCTCTCTGACATAGCCTCTAAAAAAACGAGGTTTTAGGAGGCTATGTTTCTGAGACTTTAAACCCCTATTTAAATAACGGTTTGCGTTAAAACGTAGATAGATGTTTTTTTCTTCATTTTCATGTGAAAGTCCTAAAAAATATATTATTTATGAAGTTGCATGTTCGAAAATCGTCAAATTTTCGAAGAACTAAAAAAAGGTTCAATAAATAGTCTCTCCAGTCTCTACCGATCTAAGTACCTTGTCTGTTTTTTTGGGTGGGGATTTTTTTAAAAACAAAAAAGCTAAATATGCTTTAGGTTCAAAGGCTGTTATTGTTTTTGACTTTTTTCCCCCTCTCTGCTACAGAGAGTGACCTGAGGGCGGCCGAATATTTCGGCTTTAAAAACCGCATAATACGTTAAAAAACCGTTTTCTTTTTTGTTGAAAAATAAAAATATGTAGGACCCCTTTAAACCGAATTGAACAACCACCATGGACCCGCCAAATTCAAGCAAATATGATTGGAGAAAAATATCAGCAGGAATCCATAGCCATTTTCTCGTTTTGTAATCAAACAAACTAAGTCATATGAATGGCATCTACGTGTCATAAGCGATATGGCTTGGCTGCAGTATGTAGTGACTATGGCTATGTAATGTGTCTTTCGTGTGTACGTATCTCTCCTGCTATAT